CCTTGATAAAATGATGGATGTTACTTCAAAATGTTGATGTTGACCAAAAATCTTGAAGTTTGACTGCATGTGGGTCACAATTGACTTTTGACCTAGCATAGTTGATTTTCAGGCATTTGAGCAGTTTGACTGAGCAAACTTCTTGTGTAAGGAATGAAACTTGACATGGATGATATTGAGAACATATTAGGGCAATGGAAATCATTTGGGACCCTTGGAACTCAAACATCTTGATGACAATGGAAACCCTAGTTTGAGGCTCATTGTCTTAGGAGGAGGATTTTGTCTGGTCAATCCTTAGGCATCCTTGGGCCAGTTGAAGACTTCAATGAGTATGTTTTGAGTAAAATGGGAGGGAAATTTTGGGGTACAACACCTAAGACCTCGGGAAGCAATGTAACATAACCCACTGTCTAAGACATCATTCAACCGTGCGGTTCCTTGTTCCATAATAAAGACCATTGCCTAAGACGTTGTGCACCAATGTGTTTCTTTATTATGTAACACTGACCATCACGAAAGAAGACATGAAGCAATGTTCGAAAACCAAAATCCAGGTTATCGCCTAAGATGACATGCAGCGATTCGCGAACCTAAGCCATTGTCTAAGACATCGCGCAGCAGTGCGGTTCCTTGTTTCGTAATAAAGATCATTGCCTAAGACGCCGTGCAACAATGTGTTTCTTTATTTTGTAACACTGACCATCGCCTAAGACGACATGCAACAATGTTCAAAAACGAAAATCCAGCTTATCGCCTAAGACGACATGCAGCGATTCGTGAACCTAACCCACTGCTTAAGACATCGTGCAGCAGTGTGGTTCCTTCTTCCGTAATAAAGACCATTTCCTAAGAGGTCGTGCAACAATATGCTTCTTTATTCTGTAACACTGACCATCGCCTAAGACGACATGCAACGATGTTCGAAAACCAAAATCCAACTTATCGCCTAAGACGACGTGCAGTGATTCGTGAACCTAACCCACTACCTAAGACATCATGCAGTAGTGCGGTTCCTTGTACCGTAATAAAGACCATTGCCTAAAATATCATGCAGAAATGTGCTTCTTTATTTTTCAACATAGAGCATCGCCTAAGACGTCATGCAACAATGCTCATAAAAATATATCTTATCGCCTAAGACGTCATGCAGCGATTCGCGAACATAACCCATGGCCTCAGTCTCCAAGCAACCATGCACCATCAAGTGTTGTTATAATCATCCTCCCAAATGGATGAATAAGAAAAAGCAAACCAAAACAAACAATATGAATTTCTCAAAGCTCAAGACCATCTGCCTCATCATCAAATCCTGGTAAGCGATACATCATCAGCTTTGCCTACTTTCTCAAGACTCGTAAGGGTATACTATATCAACGTAACCTTATGTTTGTCAGACAAATTTTGGGGTATTCCAAGTATTCAATAAACTCCCAATCAGAATGTGCAAGACTCGCATTTTCTCATGCTATTCGATTGGAAGATAATTGAATAGGGGCAACTGTCATACCCAAAATTTTCCCTACCTCGATGATTTTATTTTTCAAGATTTAAATAGAAGAAATATTTAATTAAATATGGTACAATAGTATGTGATGGCCCATCTTTATCTAAGACGATCAGGGGGTGTACTTTAAATTTAGGAAAGCGGGGCTTTCTAAATCAGAAAGACTCGCGTATCCGTGAACTTATTTGTGAAGCATGTTGGCCAATGGCCCATGCAATTCAAAAATGGAAAACTAGTTCAAAAAGAATACTAATTATTAAGTCCTTAATTTTTTTAATCCATTTTAAGAATTGTTGATTGGTAGTGAAAAGGAGAGGTTGAATTGCAATTTAAAAGCCCATTAGAATTTGACTCATTTCTTTTAAATAGCAAACAACAAAAGGGGGTATAATTATTGATTTATCATGCCCATTAAACGGTTTTCTGGGACAGTCCATTTGCTGCTTTGTTATTTTAAGAAATTATTAAAACTGCTACGTTTATTTTAATAAAAAGAATATATAAAGTGTTGTTATTACTGTTAACTCTTTATTTATAATATTTCACTTTTATTATTAAACAATATTATGTTAATTATCAAAAGTTTGGTTAAAGTAATGATGGGTTACGGAAAGGGAATTTGGGCCTAGTGTTGTTACATTTTTTTTTGTTGTTGTAACAAATATGATGTTGCTGGACAAAAGAAGTAAAGTAACGCAAAGCCCAATTAACATTTTTTATTAAAGCCCAATCGTTTTGCTGTAAAGTATTGTTGCTGGACCAAAAAATGTAACGCATGCCCAAGACACAGTTAACAATCACTGTATAGATTAAACAAGAATCACGTTGGTTTTCACAATAACATTCACTGTGGAAATCTATATTAAAAACAATCAAATCTTAAAACTAAAAGGCCAAATCAAATCTAGAAAATTTTATAAAATCAAATCTATATCAAATCCAAAATTACAGTGGAATCCATTATAAGAACATAAATCAATATATTACATTCAACAACTCGAGTCAATTACAATAATGAGAATCCCTAATTGTTCTACAAAACCCTAATTACAAGCCCTATAAATAAAATTGAAAATATACAGAGAGGAGGGGATTCAAATAAAGTACAAAGGAAGAAAAACTGATACAGAAAAAATATAAGAACACAAAGAACCGAGCTTGATCATTGAAGAAGAAGGTTGATGAGATTGGGGTTTTGATATTCGAAACCCTAATCGCTAGCCGCTTCTGCCGTACACAACCATCTACAACAATCCACCTCTGTTACTCTACCACCAGAACCTGCATAAAACTAAGGGGGAGACAAGCTTAGCACCAAATTAAAAAACTCAGAAATCAGAACAGAAGAATCACAGAGGGGGTAATCTCGCTTAGCTCTTTTGTGATTGTTGCTATTCTTGTATTGGGGGTGGTACGAGTTCGATTTACAAGGGGTAGGGGTTTGTTTAGCGTAGCGCCGCCGTTGTTGGTGGTCCTAGGGTAGAAAGGGGGAAAGAAGAAGGGTTACGAGAGAGATAGAGGGGAAGATGATTCACTGTAACAACAAAATAATTGTAAAAAATGAATAAAAATAAAAAGTATTTTCTGTTTGGATCATATACACTGCGGCCCATGATAACAATCATGTTCCCTTAACGCCATCCATTAGATACGCATCAGACGGTCATTAGACCAAGTCTCACGTTAACTAACGCACTCTCTCACCCACGCGATCAAACAAACCTTCTCCCAGGCATTTTGGGCCTAAGCCCACCTGTTTTTAGCACCTCCCCATTCCTAAACTACTAAACAGCAGAATAATTGGCACTCCCTGATCTGAACTCATATTTGGATCCAGTCTAGAATACCTATCAGCACCCCTAGTATTTACTCCTCAACTAGAACTACACCCCTGTTTTAATTTAATTATTATTTTATTATTTCTTTTATATTATTTTTATACTATATTTTATTCTTATTATCATTATTAATTATTTATCTCTTTTTTGTTTATAATAATAATTTTCTATTATTAATATTAATTTTTATATATTATTATTATTTATCATATGCAAATATTACTATAATAACATGTAAATAATTTTTATTTAAAATGCATATATTATTTTCTTGTATATTTGCATTGAAATATTTTTTTATCATACACTAATCAAGAATTTTTGCAGTTAGTACGATAAAAAACACTAACAAACATCAAACTATTTTTTCGCAACAAACAAATCTAAACAACTGTTTTTTTGCAAAAGAGTTTCAAACGAATTTTGACTAATCGCGCATTTAGCCAAAATCTCCGCAATCACTACAACCGGTCAAAATGCGAGGTGATTCAAAATACATTTACAACCCAAAAAAAACACCAATCCCCTACGAACTACGAATTGAGACTCTAATTCATCATAAGAGGATACGTAGACATACGATTAAAAATTGTGGCGAGTTCCGCTATATAAAATTAAAAACCCTTTCCCCTATTAAAACTTAAAACCCTATTTTACCCCAAATCTAAACCTAAAACCTAGTATCCTTGTGAACAAGGTAGATGAAAGGTGTCTAATACCTTCCTTTCGTCTAATGAAGTCCGAAACCTGAAATTTCTGTCTGCGAAATTTAGATTTCCTATTAGATGTCCTTCCTTAGAATAAAAAATTAATACATATTTACCACTTGACCAATCATGAACCTTAGAAAATAAAAAGTTTATTTATAGTTATTGAAATCATAAATTTTTGACCAATATTAAACAGTTAAATATTTTTTTAATAAACTTTACAATTTAAATAATTAATTAAAGATCCACAAAAAAATATATTATTAAAATATTTATAAATATATCTTTTAATTTTTAATGTTATTTATAATTTTAATAAAATAATTTTTTATTAGGGTCTATTTTAAAAATTGGAACCAAAAATCTAAATTTTTTGAGACGCCGTGAAAACATGTCAAATTGACACAACAAAATATATTTCGAATTAAAAAATAAATATTATTTGACGCGAAAAAATTACTCACGCAAGGGTTACGAATTACTACCAGCCAATGAAAGTATTTGTTGGCAGAAAAAATATGGAAATTGCTATTTTTATGTTTATTGTTGAAACAATCATTTATTTTAATAAGACAATGATCATTATTTTGTTGTTGTTTTTAATTAAAATCAAGAAGAGGAATTATAAAATCTAATGAATAGTATGTTGCCACCTCACTTGTGTGATTTTAACGAACTCTACTTTCGTGCTACGTATCATTATTCTTTAAAAACATTCAATTTGTATAAACTCACATTTAATTAAAATCAAATTTTAATACGTTGAAATAAGCAGGTATTAATTCAATTTTCATTTTATCACAGTCGGATGAATGTGCACTAACATGAAAGATAAATTATTTCATTAAATTTCACCAATAAAATTCAAAGGGTTTCCAAAGTTTTAAAGACAACTCTTATTTGCGTATTATTCATAAAGGTGTATTGCATAGTACAATAACAATGTTAATGACAACAACACTGATTATCTGCAGTAAAAACATTACAAAAACCACGATTCTTATAACCCATATCAAAGCAAAATTTATTGCACTTTTCGACATCTCTGCAATCCCCATGACAGAGATATGGATCTTTCCAACTAGTTGTGAAACCTGTGACAAAAATAAAGTTAAAACTAGGGAATAAACCACCAAAATGACTTTAACAAAAAAAATTAATATTGATCTTTGATACATTTGTCTTCTAAATTTTATAAATATTTAACAATTTATAAGATATGAATTATTCAATCTTACTCATCTAAAAAAATCAAGTTTTTTCTATTTTTGAAAAACTAAGACAAAACAAAAAGAAGAGAAAACAATATCTAAAATGTAACTACGGAGATAAATCAAACTTGTTCCTATTACCTGAAAGCAAAATAAAAATAATGTAAAAAGTCAAGCAAATATGAGAGACCATCATTGTGTAGAATTAATTTCACCTTATACTTTATTTCTTGTTAGATGAATAAAGCACTAATATGTTTATTATACACATGTATATATATTGGAATCAATAACTATTTAAAGAAATTCAAATTCTTATTTAACTTTTTTGCTATACTAGTAAACCATTTCATTCAAGCGATCTTATTCATCTAAAAAAAATTAAGATTTTTCTGATATTGAAATACTAAGAGAGAAAAAAAACAATATCTAAAATGTAACTAAAAAGATAAATCATACTTGTTTCAATTACCTGAAAGCAAAACGAAAATAATACAAAAAATCAAACAAATACGAGAGATCATTGTGTAAGATTAATTTCGCCTTATACTTTATTTCTTGTTAGATGAAGGATGTACTAACATGTGTATTATACACATGTATATATATTAGAATCAATGAGTATTTAAAGAAAGTTAAATTCACATTTAATTTTTTTTGTTTGACTAGTAAAACATTTGATGAGAGAGAAAAACACAATTTTTTTGGCTTAAATTCACTTAATATTTTATTTCTTGTTAGCTAAAAGACGTACAAACATCTTTATTATAATTATATACATGTTGGGCCGTTTAAGAGACACACAATAAGATCAAAGACTGGATAAATATATGTATCATATATTCATTTAATCAAAATTAAAAAAGTCTTAATAGTTTATAAATATTTATAATGTTATCATATTTGGTATCCTATGTGAACTAAATATATGATAAGATAATTTTTATCTTGTCTATATCATATCATATCCTTATCCTAACTTATATTATATCAATATCTTTTATTATATGCTACGCACTAAACAAACCTATATATTGAAAACAATATGTATTTAAGGAAATTCAAATTAACATTTAACTTTTTTTTAACTGTAAACTATTTCATTCAAGAGAGTAAAAAAGAAAGATCAATTTCTTTATTTTAATTTCATGTTATATTTTATTTCTTGTTATATGAAGAACGTTTCAAACATGTTTATTATATACATGTATATATATTGGGAATCAATGACCATTTAAGAAAACTTAAATTCACATTTAACTTTTTTGTTTTGACTAATAAACCATTTCATGAGAGAGAGAAAAGGAAAAGGGAAGAACTTTTTTTTTTTGGTTTTAAATTCATTTAATATTTTTTTTTATCTTAAAGACATACAAACATGTTTATTATATACATGTAGGACCTGTTTAAGAGACACAAAAAAATCAGAGACATGATAACATATATGTATCATATTCTATTTTAATAGAGTTTTTAATGACACAACTGAATAAAATAAGTTAATCCTTAAACTTATCTTATCTTATTTCAGTAGTTCAAATTTTTTATCATGAATATGAGTTGGGTTAGAGTCCAGCAGGATAGGATATGAAAATAATTAACTAATTTACCCTATAAAATATAATTTAAAATAAAAAATAAAATATAAATAAATATTCATTTAATCAAATTTAAAAAAATATTAATAGTTCATATATGATAGAAATATGATAGAATATAAATAAGGATAATGATATGATATGATATAGACAAGATAAAAATCATCTTATCATGTATTTGGTTCACATAGGATACCAAATATGATTTAAAT